TTATAGTTTTAGTATTTTTTTGTGTGTGTTTTGACATTTTTATATAATTAGTCTGTAGCTCTTATTATTTTTTGTTCAGTTTTAGCTATTTTAGTATATAATATTAAACCAAATGAAAAATCTCGCTTTGGCAACTAGCTGAAATAAAATACGTTGACTTTTTCTTAAATTGTATTTTATTTTGAGTTAATATTCAGTTTACGCAACTTTTGTTTCAAGTAACAAATGTTTTCTATTTTTATTTCTTTATTTCTTTCTTTCTTGCATGGTTTTAGTATTAGTTAACTATAATAACCCTGAGTACAAGTATTCTTTGGTTCCCTGAGGCAGAACACTGTGAGTAAAGGAAAAAGACGGGTCTGTATAGCTTTCATACTACGCTTAACCCTGGTTTAACATTTTCGGTCTTGGAAGTTCAGTTAATAACAATCATCTGATGATAACTATTATATAACATTGTAGAATAGTTGTGGAAAGGTTCTCTGAATGTCATCGACCTTAAAGGGTTGTCCTGCTGAGATCACATTTAATGCAGCTCACACGTCGACAGACATTTTTCACCTCGCTGATCAAATATTTCTGAACAAAAAACATAAAGCAGAAATAGGTTACTCCCCAAGGTGATTGCTCAATATCCACCTTATGAGCACGCTAGCTTATATATTATTAAGAGGTAATAAAAGGTCCAAATAAAACCAGACACTGTGATATATTTATATAGAGCAGGGGACACTCAAATTGAGTCTGTGAACCTCAAGGTCGCCGCAAAATTCCTCTGGGCCGGCCCGAGGTGAAGACGCTCGAGCACCAAATGGTGCATGAACGGATGAATCTTCTGAAATGTCAAGCTGATCAATTAGGGAGGTGATAATTGTTTGAATGTGTTAATAAAGTCTTAATTTAATGCCAATAAGTTCTTAAAACATCTCCTAACCCATCATTTAAAGGCGTGACTGGATATGATCGTCACCGTTTTGTAAGATATAAACTGTCAGCTTGTCTGGATAAGTCCACTCATAACAGGGTAGAAAATTAGGAAGCCTCTGGGATTTTTAGTGCAAACATTTGATTTAGTGTCCCACTTGATTTTAACACTTAGTTATTATTATAGAGGAGAACTTTAAAAAGTTAAACTGGTCAAAATGAACGTTTTAAACAATTTAAACAATTAAAGAGACTAATAATAATAATAATAATAATAATAATAATAATAATAATAAATAAAAAATAACTAGCAAAAACTGTTTTCAACATTGATAAAAATAAGAGCCATTATTAGTAATGAGCATTCAATCATATATTTGATTTGAGCATCATGATTTGCATTATGAGCATTACTGAAGACGAGAGTAATGATGCTGAAAATTCAGCTTTAATCACAGGAATAAATTATATTTTACAATATATTCAAATAGTTGAGAGTAGTTACACAGGCGAAGAGTCAGAGGCTCCTGTCATGGCCTGTGAAACTCCTGAAACTCTATAATTTGAAATACTAGTTGTCATGGAAGTTTTATAAATGATGAAACAATTTTATGTAAAATATATACACTACCAGTCAAATGTTTGGAAAGAATAATTTCTGAAGGATCATGTGACACTGAAGACGAGAGTAATGATGCTGAAAATTCAGCTTTAATCACAGGAATAAATTATATTTTACAATATATTCAAATAGAAAACAGTTATTTTAAATTGTAATAATATTTCACAATATTCCTGTTTTTACTGTATTTTTAGACAAATAAATGCAGTCGTTATGAGCTTAAATATCCTTCTTTCAAAAACATTAAAAAAAAACTGTATTATTCCAAACTTTTGACTTTTAGTGCACATTAAGGCAATTTTATGTAAAATATATACACTACCAGTCAAATGTTTGGAAAGAATAAGCTATTTTTTTTTATAAATAAATAAGTGTAAGGATTCACTAAATTGATCAAAAGTGCCAGTAAAGACATTTGTAATATTATTAAAAAAAATAAAAATAACTAGCAAAAACGTAAAAATGTTTTCAACATTGATAATAATAAGAGCCATTATTAGTAATGAGTATTAAATCATATATTTGATTTGAGCATCAAATAAAAAGTGAATTTTTTATTTATTTTTTCACTCAGAAATTGCTAATAAATTACACAATGTATTAGAAAGAAACAGCAACACATTGGACTAAACATGAAATTCTGAAGGAAAAAAATATTTTCTATACACATTAAGGCAATCATTACTGCATTATATCGAGTATTAAAAGGAAAAAAAAAAACATTTCCCTTTATATACACCCCCACATCAAGGTGGTTATAGGTCAGTAGATACCAAGACAATTTGCATTGGGAGAAATCGAAACGAGCCTGAAGGAATGAAAGTCCTGTTTTACATTTAAAAGAGCCAATCACGTTTACTATTGCACACACATTCATGTGAGCTTCTTTGTGTATCTGAGCTGAAAAATCATTGAAGAAACCATTGCTTCTGTCTCCACCTATTCAAGAAAATGAAGCTGCATTTGCCTAACTAGAAATAGCTGTTCCAGAGTGTTACTGAATATGTTCTGAGTGAACTGACTGGATATTTAGGGTTTAGTGCAGACATGTGTGGATATGAGGCCATCCTTTGATGAAATAATGCAATATGAAACACTTTAAAACACTTCAAAACATTATATTGGCAAGAAGTCAGTGTTAATATTTCAACATTTTTGCTTGAACAAAGAAGGTGCATTTTTATGATTTTATGAAATTTAAAATGTCAAGAAGTAGACTTATTTATTTCACCAAAAGTAAAAAAAAAAAAAAAAAGAGGTGTAAAAAATAAATAATTTGAGTAATATAAGTACACACATACAAATTAAAGGACGTGAGTGATCAAACAGACAAATAATGGATGTTTAAATGTTAAAGTGCAACTTTGACAATATTGGTGCACATTGTACACAGTGAGTTTTAAAGGATGCTCAGAAGATAGCTGACACTTACAATGAATGTGTCCAAAAAATAGAAATAATTGCTTTCACTTGCCAAAGTTTGAGATCTCAGTCTGTATAAAAGTGGTTTGCAAAAACAGGGAATGCCAACAAATTCCTGCAGCACAACTGTTTTATTCTGCTTTATTTGTAGGAAATATTATGTGCTTATTACTACTTGGAATGGAGGGAAAACTGGTCACAATCAACCCACAGTTTCCGCTACTTGTGTGTATATATATATATAGTCAGAATGTTGGTATACAATTCAAATGAACTGCTTTGTTGCAAATAAGTCCAATATGCACCAGGATTTTTGCCGATAGGCAAGAGTTTGGCTTGCAAGATAATGACCGAAGTATAGAGCGGAGTTGCATGATTTTAATGACAACATTATATTAAAACATTAGAGAGTTTACTTAAGACTTTCATGGTTTAACCTCACCTCTAGCACTGACCAAAGTCATTTCATCGAGATAGAAAATGAATATGCACCCACTGCAAATGTATAATATATATATATATATATATACTG